GCTCCAGCTTATCATTAACTTCAAGGGATTTACTCCACACTTTAATCAGTCACTGAATATACAGTCTGACCCAGGAAAAGGCGCAAAGAGTAAATCAGTGCAGATTTGGTCTTGAGCCATTACTGGTGGGAGAAGTGCTTTCAAGATATTTGATAAAAGGTATTTTTAGATAATGAACGCTCCTCCAGAAAGAGGCCTTATCAAATGTGGAATGAGTATGGTCTGTCAAAAATTTTATTTCAACTTCTGGCTTTGTAAAGTAAAAGCTCTGGATGATGCAACAAGGAAAGGAATTTTGGCCTCTTGGGTGTGAGGTTATGGCATTTGGAGGTTCCTGGTCTTGTGTCACCCCCATGTTCTTTGGGTGGAGAAGGGAATGCTGGAAACACTCTTCAGCTCAGAGGGACTCTTTGAGAAGGAGAGAGAAAATTACTCTTTTATTATAAGGTTTGCCAAATGATCTCTGAGAAAATGTGATATCATTCATATGTATTGCCAAGCTGGAAAGAAGCTGCACATCTTGGCAGCCATCTAGAGCTAACGTATAATTCCTTTGGGTTGGTATGGGCTTTATCAGAAATGGCTCCATATGCAGTATTTACATAACTGTGGTGGAGTGTGAGAATAAACACAGCTGTGGCATTGCCCTAAATATTTCAATTCAGCAGGGAATTAAGGGAACTTTATCACTGAACTGCAGATAAACAGAAGTCAGTAAGCGGTGGTCAGTTTAGCCAGGGAACAAATCAAAACCACAATGGCTGGACTGCTGGAAACGTCTAAGTGCTTTAGTGTTGAAGTTTAGCAAGGTCAATGATATTTCTTTGCTTTTCAAAAAATATGGAAATGCCATCAGTCAGCTGTTATACAAAAAAACCATCATCCAAATGGACTGGTGAATCAAAGCAGCGTAGGCTGAAAGGCAGAAAAAAAGTTGATAGGGATGCAGCACTTTCCACATCTGATTGCAGTTGGAGCCCATGGGTTTCTGGGAAGATTATACATTTCTGATAGTATCTCCAACTGACTGCAGGGATGGCAGTCCTGGATCTTCAGCAGAAATCTCTAAGCACGTTTTTTTAAAGATAGCTTAGAGCCCAGATCTTACAGCAAAAAGCAAGTAGCAGAGTTCAGGCAGTTGAAGATTTAGACTTTTGTTCTTAAGGTATGAATAAAAAAGATACCGCACCTATAAGCTTGCTGAGGAATGATGCTTGCAGGTGTATTCCTCAGGCTGGATCAGTGCCATGGATAAAAGGTTTCAGTTTCAGGGCTGTCAAGGCAGCATTTATTCCCATTTTGAGCTCACTTTTGAGAAGTGTAGCATGAATTGTCCAATCTTTCTGCTACTCAGCTCAGGGAATGACTTTCTGCATTTGTTAGTGCGTCACCATCAAACTTTGATGAGTGACAAGCAGTCCCCAAAATAACCCCATTAGAAGTCACTGATGGATGAGATTTTAAGAGTATTTTTGCAAGCATGACTCAGTATGTGTGTGTGCATGTATATACTAGAATGTATACATTGGTGTCACAGTAGAATGTGTGTATATTAGAATTTGCTCAGTTTAGAATCACTTAAGCAGAATTGTAAAGAGCTGTCTAAATGTTCACTATTTTAGGGGACAGTATTTTTTGTAGAAATACTTATATAGACACAATTAAAGCCTCGAGGACCAAGTAGGAAAATATTTGTTTGTATGTTAATCCACTCGCTTTAAGCAAGAATTAGAGCGTTTTCCAAGTGGGAGGGAAGTAGCCATTTGGAAGCGCTTTCAGTTCTAGATTATTTTTAAACTAAAGCCTTCTGCAACTCTAACTTAAAAAAAATTACACACATTTGCTGCTGTTCCTTTGCAGCTGAAAAACAGCACTTTCTTCTCTGTCTTTATAGCCCTTGTTCAGCACTTTGTTTACCACACGATACGCTGGGACTTTGGAGGTGCGAGTTCCCTTAGAGAAACCACAGGCTTTGTGAAGAGTGTTGTTTCACACAGTCCATACAGTGCATTACATTCTTCAAAAACAGCACAACGCTGTTATGCTGTCCAAATAGCTTTTGTTTTTAAAAGCCATATTAAAATGGGAAGTAGAGTACAGAAAATCATGAGTGCTGCATCTGGTTTGTTCCCTGCCTTGTTTGGCTTACGCACCTTTCCACTTTTTTGCTGGTGACATGGGGATACTGTCACTGACCTCATTTGTAAAATGTGGTGAGATCTCCTGCTAAAAAGCACTGTGTAAGTAATAAGCAACATTTCACTGATTACCACAATGTATTTTGAAATCCCAGTCTGTATAGTTTATTTCCATTGATGGATGCCTACAAGAAAAGTTCAAACTCACGTTCATGAGGCAATGGGAGAGCAGTGTTTCTGATGGAAAACCAGACCAGAGATCAGCACCTCCCTTTCCACCTCCCCTCCTCAGGAAGCTGCAAAGAAAAATGAGATCACCCCTCAGGCTCCTTTTCTCCAAACTAGACAAGCCCCAAATCCTTACCCACTCCTCACAGGACATTCCTTCCAGCCCTGTCAGCAGCTTTGTTGCTCTCCTCTGGATACATCCAAGGACTTTCATATCCTTCTTAAATTGTAGAGCCCAGAACTGAGCACAGAACTTGAGGTGAGGCCACACCAACACTGAATACAGCAGGAAACACAGAGTCACAGAATTACTTTGGTTGGAAAAGGTAAAGATCACCAAGGAAGTGCAAGATCTCTATCTTAGTTTGAATCCTCAGTGCATCCTGGAGCAGCTAACTAAGAGCCTTATTTTCAGATGGAGCTGAGCTCTAGCAGCTTTACTGTGGAAACGTGTGTTATTTTGTTGGCTCAGCACTTTCTGAAATATCAACCCGCTTTTTAAGCTAACCAAACAGTGAATTAGGACCCTGAACAGTTCAGCTGCTGAGTTTGGAAAATCATGACCTTTACTATCTTTAGAGCAGTGTCTACTTGGAGACCTTCCCTTCCCAAAATGGACAAACACAAGACCAGCAGTCCTCAGTCTCCCAGCCCCAGGGAGTTCTGCAGATTGAGCCGCTCCTTGTTCTGGATTCTGCTCCGGTTTCACCGATTAATTAAAACCTCTTAATTGTTAGTTAAGCTCCAAATTGCAGGATTTTGTGATTGCATAACAAATATTTGCCTTACAGTACTGTCTTGAACCTCAACCTGAATAAATTCCACTGATCTAATTACTTTTCTGCTACAGAAAGGAGTCATTGTGTGTCCCAGAGATCAGAGAGCAAAGCAGAAGGCAGCACTTCGTGCTTAGGCTCAGATCCCAGGTTGAGTTTGTGAGGGTGATGTCCAGGGGCACTCACTGTGTGTGTATAATGAAAAAGCACAAATGTGATACGGAGTTGAGTGATGGGCAGTGGCCAAGGTTTGGTTTTATAATCACCAGATAAACTAGACTATTACTTAGTGGGTTATTTAACAAATGTTTCAAGTAAAAGTGGTCCACAAAGCTATATAGCACACAAAGCCCCACTAATAACTAATTTAGCCTTATTGAGAACAGAGCTGAAGTAGCTGAAGCTGCCTCTCAAAGCATATTTGTTGTTGTTGTTAGCAAAGGTGTTGGCATAGATCCCATAACCATGAGAGAGCCAGCTGCATCCTGGGCTACATCAAAAGAAGTGTGGCCAACAGGGCCAGGGAGGGGATTCTGCCCCTCTGCTTGCTCTGCTCAGACCCCACGTGGAATACTGTGTATAGTTCTGGGGCCCTCAGTACAAGAACGATATAGACCTGTTGGAGAGGGTCCAGAGAAGGGCCACCAAGATGATCAAAGGCCTGGAGCAGCTCTGCTATGAAGACAGGCTGAGAGAGTTGAGGCTGTTCAGTCTAGAGAAGGGAAGGCTCTGAGGAGACCTTATAGCACCTTCCAGTACTTGAAAGGGGCCTACAGGAAAACTGGGGAGGGGCTTGTCATCAGAGAAGATAGTGATAGGACAAGGGGTAATGGTTTTAAACTGAGAGAGGGGAGATTAAGGTTAGATATTAGGAAGAAATTCTTTACTATAAGGGTGGTGAGGAACTGGAATGGGTTGCCCAGGGAGGCTGTTGATGCCCCATCCCTGGAGGTTTTTAAGGCCAGGTTGGACAAGGTTTTGTGCAACCTGGTCTAGAGGTGGGATTCCCTGCTTATGGCAGGGGGGCTGGAACTTGATGATCTTTAAGGTCCCTTTCAACCTTAATGATTCTATGATTCTGTGATGAACAGGATTCATTTTCCTGAAAGCTGTGTTTATCCGTGCTTTTCAAACCACGGTGATGGGGTAGAAGTCCACAGGATGATATAGTAAACATTTGGGTTTTTTTGAAAAAATCCCCATCTCTTTACTCAGGAGTTCTGAAAACTGTAAAAGATGCTTGCCAGCAGCAATCACACAGTTGTGGTTAACACTTTCTTGTTGCCACTGTTAGCAGGATGTAAATAGAGCATTGAGGCTGCTGGTAACTCCTGGACAAGCCTGATTGTCATGGGCTTCTGGTTGATAATTAGTGGTGTCACTGAAACAATCCTAAGAAAACTCCTCAATTTGATATAAGGGTAGTTTTAATTTAGCTCTAAATTAGTAAAATAAGCACATTGAGAAACTCTGGGCATGCAGTGATACCCAGCTAAAGAAGGCAGCAGTCTACCTCCAGCTTCTCCACAGTCATCTCCTGTGCAGTTCTGGGTGGTTGCTGTGTCGGTGAATGCTCCTCTTGCCTTTGTATTTGAAACTCTTACTGACATGGTAGATGTGGAGTTTCATCAGCACTGGCAAATCCTCTTCTCAAGGATTTTATGCAGATGCTAGCACAGACCTGGCATTAGTTAAGATGATTGTACTCTATTCAGTTGTTGTAAAGGTAAGTTTTTATTGCTAAGTCTTGATATTAGTATCTGTCTTTTAAACTCATTACTAACACTAGGCAAGGTAATAAATGTAGCTGCCTAACAGTGTCTGAGTGAACATAATGTTTTTCCCCCCATTTTTCTAGACTTATTGAAGTTCATTCACCTGATGCCAAGCACACCGTGGTGCTCAGGAGTAAGGATTCAGCTACAGCCCAGGCCTGGTTCAATGCCATCCATTCCAGTGTCAATGAGCTCATCCCCAGGGTGATTGCAGAGGTCAGAGACCAGCTGGGTAAAACAGGGATTGCTGGAAGTCGAGAAATTAGGCATCTAGGCTGGCTTGCAGAAAAGGTAATGAAAGCATTTTAATTTCTAACCTTTCTCTTTCTTACTTGCTCTTTGTTCCTGAATTCAGCATTGACTGAAAGTGGAGAGGCTACATGATGTTCTAGGTTTTAATTTAGCTTTCCATGCCTTTCTTTTCTTTATGAGCCAATTTTTGTGCTTTTTAAGAAATCCTAAAAAAACTATATGCGAAGAGTTTCCTGGGAGATTAGAAGTTTCATGATCTGTTGAATTCAGGCTTGGGACATGAGTCACAGAGACTGCCACTGGCCTTGAGCTCCCCTACTGCTATGTCTCCAGTTCACATATATGAGGTGTCACTTTCCGATTCCCAATGTGGGAAGTAATAAGTTACTTGGCCCATGGTCCACCCCACTGCTGTGCCACAGGAGCAAGAACATGGTCTGGAGCGCAAGATGGTGTCTGGGAGCTTGTACTTTAAACATTGCCCTAATTTTCAGCTGGTCTTCATAGGAGACCGAGTTTGCAACTGCAGTTGCAAACCTGTGTCTGGCACAGTTTGAGTGTTAAAATATTTTATGCCATAGGGGAAACCTGGTGTTCAGTTCAAAAGTAGTTGGGGATCTGTTGACGTGTGGAAAGCCAGCCCTTGAATGCACAGAGATGGTATCAGTGTGAGACTATCTGGTTTTAAATCAGTAGTCTCAGAATTTGTTTTAGGCCTTGTACCAACTGCTAAGTGTGCATTTGCTATGGTAGCAGTGCTAGGATTGTGCCTGGAGAGACCTGTCATCCACATATTGCCTGGATGGCTGATCATAACATCACTGCCACTCCAGCTGGGGTGCCTGGAAAAATGGCCACTGTGCACACACTGCCCTTTCAACCATCCAGGACAGGTGTGGAAAGCTGACTCCGATTGTCCTGATGAACATACTCTACGTTTTAGCTCTAGGTGAGAATTTGTAGATGAAAATGTCAGAGCCACAGGCAGAGGTGCCATACTTCTCTCTAGCATCCTGTAAGAAGGCACACTGTTAATTTTGGGTGAAATGTGGGTCACTCCACTTTGCCACTTGTAGAGAGGCAAAGATTGGAAAACCTTTTAGGCAGATTTTATGTTTTCCTGTCCCTCCATCCAATCTTGCAGAGTGCGGAAGACAACACAATTCTGTGGCTTAGCACTCTAGAACATGTAAAAATTTGGGGCAAGAATTTGGGGTTAAAACTCCAAGGCATTGGTAAGTAAAATTTAACAGTATTAAATTGTACAGACGTGGAGTCTTTATGCTTCTTTTCCCTTTTGTATCCATTTCCATAAACTTATGAAAAACTGAATAAAAGAATGTTTTTCTGTTGCAAAAAGCTGGAAAGGGTAGCTGCTTTATTAGCAGATCATGTTGACTTTATATGTAGAATATTCACAGCTCATTTTAAGTGGACACATGGCACACTTCTGGTTTATTAATTTCCTCTCCTTCCTTGTTAATGCACAATATCCTGTTCACACGCTTTTTTCTCCTCTTTTTTTCCTTATGGACTGAGATCTTATTTCATGTTACTCATTATGGAGCAGTTCAAGGTCCTGTTGAATTTAGTGGTGAACCTTGTGTTGCCTTTAATAGGGCCTGTGTATTTACAGTGGCTGTCATCAAGAATTAGCCTTGAGAGATTTGCAGTGACATTGTTACCCAAAAGTCAACATGTTTTTTTCACTAAACTAACCATCCAGAGCTGTGCAATAGTAACCAGAGTGAGATTAAAAGTTCCTGGCTTCTTTTCTTGTTGGAGACCTGTTGAGAAGTAGAGGAAATCACTACATATGGTAAAAAGTCATGTGAAATTACTTTTATTTTGTTACTGGACTGTGGGCTGTAAAGCCTGAGTGAAAGAAAGATAACCTGGGGATGGGAGAGGGCGGTATATACACTGTGTACCTCCTAACTGTATATATACTGTTTTAGAGGAGGTGTTCAAGGCAGCTAGTTGAGATGCTGACCACAGGGTATTTTCTATGTGCTCCTCATGCAAAGCCTGAGTCTGCCAGTGAGGAGAGATTAAATTCTGCAATGATTTTTAGAAGCACACCAGAAATACCAGCATTCTTCTCCTGGGGTGAACTTCCTTACCATATACACTACTCTGGTTTCTAAACACTGACGTTTAGAAAGGGACCTCATTATTAGCAGTCACAAAATAAAACATGTTCCTTGTATTCCTCCTAATATTACCATTTATTGTTTTTTTCTCTTTGACATTTGTGGCACATCTGCTATTTTTACATGAACTGCAGTTTTGAAATAATCTTAAACTGTAACTTTTAAGACAGCCTTTATGGTATTGTATTATGTTACTTACATATCTTTACAGTGAATTTTCAGCAAAATGAAACAACAGTAAGTGAGATTAATTCCTTTGCTTGTTTGGAAAATGCAAAAGGTAATCCCATAGAAATTTCACTGTAATTTGCTGTGATTACTCTCTGCTTTCATTAAGCTGTTTCCTGGTTTGACGGTTTTTATATGTCTCTGCTCTAAACTTAGCTCTAAACTTCAACCTTTATGGTACTACAAAAATAGATTCATTAGTACAGCCTCCCTCAGGTGGGTGACATTAAAATAAATAGGTTATCTAAGGTACTAAGCCATGGCATGCTAACAGGATTCTTCCACCTTCACTCAACTTCCCTGTCAAGACACCCTGAAGGTTGTGGTCTTCAGCATGAAACGTCTATCTTGCAGGTCCACCATGGGGTCCCTGGCTGTGCCCCGGGGTGGGTGGCGAGGATCTGTCAGCAGATAAAGCAAAGAGCTCTATATCATGTAAGAAAGCAAATACTCACTGAGTCATTCTTATAGGTTAGGAGAAAAACAGCCAGAAGGAATCATTAGACATGCCATATTCCTTCTTTTATTAAGGCACTAACCTTGTCCTGACCTTGAACTTATGGGAAGGGTTTCTGAATCTGACCAAGGATTAGGGAGTTGTATTAGTCACCAACATCCTAAAACTCTTCTGTAACTACGAAAGATGTCAAGTACCATTTTGTAACAAAGTGTGTGTGTTCTACATCCCCCCCCCCCTTTTTTTTTTTAAATTTGTCTTTTCATGTCGGCAAGACCTGTGAGATTAAGAAGTGTGCTAAGCAGAAAGGAACAACTACATGTGGGTTTTAATCTTTCCAGGTCTTTCCTTTTTTTTTGCTTCCTGTAAAGATAATTTTAGTGACCAAATGCAAAAAAAAAAAATAAAAAGCAGCTAGTAATGTCATCCTAACTGAGGAGCTTTTCCATGTGTGTGTTAATTGCCCTTCTTCTTTGCAGGAATG